GTGTTGATCAACTAGAATAATGACCTAAAGACAGACAATTTAAATGGACAGTGTCTGTTAATGGACAATATCAATATATTGATAATTTCAATATCAGAATGGATAACTGATTCTCTTTGCTCCGGGATAACATTTGAAATCATCTCTAAATGTATTTGTTTAATGAAGCAATAATGAGATTCTTATGTAACCATATTTTTCAAAAACAAATTATGTTCTGCATAATTCATTTTCATTTTGATACATAAGTTTTGCCAGATCTTCTTTACTTGGAATGGTACATCCTCTGGTGCTGCCTATTATATCTAAATTGATCTTTTCAATGATACCACCTACTAGAAATAACAACTCTTTTTTCTAATTGTTGCAAGGATAAAGATTGAATATCACATGAAGATAATTTATTTGATATATGCAACAATAACTATAACTTTATTATAACCTCTCCGAACTTTAACTAAGAATATGTATTTTTCTACATTTAGAGACTTTTTATACACTTACTTTTGTAGTTTTGTACATGGTCGTCAATGTTTTCTTTTGTCACTTCCTCTTTGCAACCTCTAATTCCGCATTCACGTTGCACTATAATAAACATCTGTAATTTTAGGATCTACAAAATACTCAAGGCTCTCACAGGAAATATTTAGTTGTGGTGTAAACATTTTCAGCATACTTGTTTCTCTGCAATAAGTACTTTTTACATTTATGTCATTACATTGCTTACATGATTTCATTGTGTATTTATTCATTCTCGAGCTATTGGAGCAAGCCTTGGTCTTCAAATAAAAAATTCCTTGTGATCTTGTGTCTTAAATATGTCTTAAAGATTAATGTTCAGAAATTGGTGACAAGACACAAATTAATATATTACAAATACAAAATGCCTATAATTCATCAAACTTACATATATGATCTTGAATGTTAAGTTAACAAACACACAGTGATATGACAACTGATCAGCAAAATACCTGTACACATCAGAACTTGGATCTGTAAGAAATTGAGGCTGATGAATTTCCTGGAATTTCTATTATCTTGTTAATATTTGATTTGTTCATGGAAGGTAAAACTTACTCCTTGGGTGTTCTGCCTTGGTATGATTCCCGATTGCACCTAGTTTTGAGGTGGTGAATTCACATTTGGTGCACTTTTGGAGCCGACCATCTGAAAATATATAGGTCAAAGCCCAAAAATCAAAAATACAAAATACAAGTCAGCAGAGTAATTTTTTTCTTTATTATCACCTTATTTATACAAAGAATACAAAGTAGGTGTCCATGTGCCAGTGGCTGGGCATAAGTCAGAGTCAGTAGGCTTAGAGAAAAGTCAGTAGCACACATTTCCCTGTTGTCAATTACTGTTTACATACCTTGTTGAGAGTTTCTTGATTGTTGTATTCTATCTCTTCTCCTTCCTGTTACAATGTCACTAGAACTGAAAAAAGAAAATGATACATGAACTAACCTACTTCAATCCTATCCCAAAGACAAAATATGGGTTTATAGCCATACTTCAGAGTCAAATTGTGAAATTCACAGTACTCTGATAAGGCGTAAAATGACGTGATATAATTATCATGGCCATTGCAAGTTGACCTTCTGCAAAACAGGATTCACCTAGCACATTTTGTAGTTTTTTTTTCAATACTTTATTTGCCAAAAAACATATTTACATAGAGTGCATGGAAAGCAGTGAATTAATGTACAAGAAGATGAAATAAAATTTTAAATAAGAGATGATCAAATAAGACACTGAACATGTCTACATTTGTATTATTTGCCATAATGAAGGCCCTTTTGCCCTTGAGGATTCTTAGATTTAAATCATTATTTTTTTCAACACTGAAAACTGCATCTTTTACTTTAAGATTGACAAGTTGTGCTACACTCGTATCTTGCTTCTTTTCTAAGCTTTGATGAAACTCCATTGTCCCTGTTTTATTTAAGAAGGACTTTTACATGAAATGTTCCCTTGGTAACAAATATTGCCTAAAATATAAATGTTCCCTGGTAACAGATATTGCCTATAACTTATTACAATTATTCTACAATATGTGGCCAGATGCAGATATTAACAATTCATTTGCAGTCTACATCTCAATCTGTGGATCTGATAGGTTTGTCATCACTGTCTTATGCAATTTGTTTTATCATAGTTGTCTGGGTTTCCACCCTGCTTCTGGTGAGGCAGCTTTTTTATTTACTTAGTTTTGATAAGTTAGAAAATCAATACCTTTTCTTCTGAAATGTTTAGTTATGCAATCTTGCCTTGGGTCAGGTTATAAAATATCCTTTAGAAATCTGCCATTCCTATTCTTAAAATAACAATAAAAAATAGCAACTGCTCGGTGTATGAAAATCCAAAGAGCAAAATATGGTATGGTATGGTATGCCAAGGCAGTCGCAGTTCAGCCAACTTCGGCATGTTGCATACACAAATGCCTCCTTACCAGAAAATATGAAAAGCAGAAATCAATTCTTCAACAGAAATTGATTTGAAATTTAAAATTTCCTTGGGCCTTAATTATTATAAGGTTTTTGATTTGGATTCTTTCAGATCGACTCGTGAATGTTTAGGGAGAAGTGACCCGAACTCTACATACTCATTATTCCAGATTTTTTGAAAAGAAAATGCCTTAGAAGGAGCTTCAGGCTCATTGAGATCATCAAGATTTGTTTCCATACCTAATCTTGGGAATGAGACATCATCCGAATCCCCAGAGTCCGTGCTAGTAGCGTTGTTATTACGTTCCTTAGATGTCCCATTGTACAAAAGATTCAATTACTCTGACATTTGTAATTCGACTTTATTTATTCTATTCCAAGATGTTTGCACCCTGATCAGCCTCGTGGTGTCACGTGACTGATGACGACATATAATACAATGCATTAGAAAGCAGCCTAAGAACAATACGCTACCAAGAAATCTTTTCAGTTCGATCATGTTCATTGGTGGCTTAAGAACATTACTCTACCAAGAAGTCTTTTCAGTCCATGTTCATTGGGTTTGCAATCCCTTCTATAGCATGAATTTTCTCGGGGCTTGGGCTTACCCCCTCAGCTGAAATGCAGTGACCTAAAAAGTCCATGGACTTTTGCCTGAAACAACATTTTGCTTTGTTTAGCTTCAAGTACTTTCTGTAGCTGCATGTCATGCTCTTCTATTGTGGCGCCATGTACAATGACATCATCTGTGAATACATTGACCCCTTCTAAATCGCCGATAAGTCTTTTCAGTCCATGTTCATTGGGTTTGCAATCCCTTCTATAGCATGAATTTTCTCGGGGCTTGGGCTTACCCCCTCAGCTGAAATGCAGTGACCTAAAAAGTCCATGGACTTTTGCCTGAAACAACATTTTGCTTTGTTTAGCTTCAAGTACTTTCTGTAGCTGCATGTCATGCTCTTCTATTGTGGCGCCATGTACAATGACATCATCTGTGAATACATTGACCCCTTCTAAATCGCCGATAATATTTGACATTTTAGCCTGAAATATCTCACTTACGCTTGATATACCAAACGGTTAATTCCTCAATGTGGTCCATTTTGAATGCGCTGTTTTGATGCTTTTCACATATCTCACCAATGAAATAATCGGCAGCTGAAGCTATATCAGTTTCATTTTGACAAGAACAAGATGCAATTGGTCACTTTGACTTTTGACTTCACATACATTTTTGCTTTTACATACAGGACCAAATTGTCCTTTTTTCTGCAAACTTTGCAAGATTGATCAAGTGCTGGGCATTTTCCTTCTTATGTTCAGTGTAGCCACAGTATCTACAAGAGTAAGCTTTTGAAGATACTAAGGGCCTTTTAGAATTCCTTTTAGAGTTGACCTTGGACTTTGTGGAGGTATTTTTGTGAGCATGGTCACCAAAACTTACCCTGTCAATATTTTTGATTCTTCTGCCACCCCTTTGATCATTTCCGTTTGTCTCATTCACTGCTGTACGTGATCAAGTGTCTGCTCTTTATTCAACTGCAACAGTTTGAGTTTGTTCGACAAGTCTTTATCTTTCATACCTATCATAAATTGATCCCTTATTTCATCGTCAACATTGGTGAACTGACAGTGTTCAGCCAATCTGTGTAGCCCTTGTATTTATTGTTCAGCTGTTTCATTTTCGCTCTGCATGCGCTGAAGAAATGTTTTTTCTCTCATATATAATGTTCCTGCATACATTTAAAAATGATCTGATTTTGCAACCTGCAATGGCCAATTTGTTGCAAGTCTGCATGACTCTGCTGCAGGACATTTACCACTCAGTCAGGTATGTTTCGAGTAACCACAACCCTTACATTTACCCTTTGAGGCCAGATCAGCAAAGTTTGCTGTTGTTGTGAGTCTTCCATATGGAGTGTTGACACAGATTCTTGTTCATTGGGATGACAATCACTCACTGCTTTCTCAAGTGTTAATGAATCATTACGTTGTAATCTACCACATACCTCATTAGATAGTATGCCACAAACAATACAGTCACGAATGAGACTATCAGTCAATGTGCCAAACTCTTAATCTTTTGTTTTTGTTTTCAACTCTGTAACATATGAGTCTTTTCACCATTCTTTTGGTTTCTAGTAAAAAACTGGTGTCTGATGTAAATTATATTTTTTCCTGATTCACAGTAATTCTCAAGTCATTGTAATAGAGGCTTGATTTTATCCTTTTCCCCATCCGAGAAAGACCAAACGTATTATACACTTTAATAGTCTGCTCACCTGTGATATGCAGTGCCATGGCACATTGTTTCGTTAAAGATTTTTCATCTAATCCAATAAAGAGGCTGTACAGTTCAAATCTGTAACTTTTGATATGACCCCTTGACTCTCAAGTTTAGATTTCTTTTTAGGAAGTAATGGTTAACTCACACGACGCAATGTAGTAACAACATAAGGCTTACATGTAAGATCATCCTTAAGTTCAATATGCAAAGGTTCACAAGTCAATTTACCTATCACGTCGGAACAGTCAGAGTATTTGTCTTTATGTCAGAACCACTCAATTTCTTAGCAACAGAAGTTAGCTACAAAGACGCTTGATAAGTCCCATTGACACAAAAAACGAGATAGTAGGTTAATCCCTGCATGTGTATTAGCAACATGTATTTTGGCTTTGAATCTTTTATTAGGCTGATCTGGTAAGGACAATGTAGTAGTAAACACTCCCAGACATTTGACAATACCCCGGGGCTTTAATGTTTAGTCTTTGAAGAGGACAAACCTGGAAGGTCTGCAATCTTTTCGAATCAGAAAAGGACATCATAGTGACTTCAGCACCTGATTCTACTTTGAATGTACCTAATGTACCACCTACCTTCACACTGACAACCCATGCCGGCTCATCTGGCACTGAAACACTATTAGAATCACACGATGAATCTGCATCTTCATGTAGTTGTCCCAGGAACACATAATCTGTAGTACAGTCTGCATTCAAGTTGATATCATCACTGTGGGTATCACTGGCATCACGATAACAGCTTACCATAATCCATGAGCTTGATTTTGTTTGTTAAATCATAGTCCTTAATAAGACTATTCATGAACTGATGCATGATTTCAGTGTCCTTGTTGTCGAATGCGCATATTTCCGCCTGTTCATACAGTGAGTGCAAATAACAATCAACTGAACTGTCACCCTGCATTGCTGATAATCCATCCATGTTAAAAAATATATAAAAGAAGAGATACTCACTGGATTTAATATATATAGCCTTAGATGGTCAAGAGATTAATATCCACCTTCTGAGCGATGAACAGAATGCCCCAAGTCCTCTCCACAATGAAATTTGTTAAATTATGAATCCACAAACTGTGATGTTTTAATCAAATTAAAAGCTCGAAGACTATGTTATAAATTGTATAAATTATGTTCTTTCTTATGTTATGCATTCTAAAAGATCAATTCAACCAATTAAAGCAGCAATGTCAGCATCAAAATGAGACTTTACCTTTTCGATCTCAGTAGCAATCTGTTTCGATATATCATCCCTGAGTTTATCAAACTCAGAGTTCATAGACCTGTTGAGGATTTATCTCTTTGAGTACCTCTGTTACTGAATATTCTGGGTCTAACAATGTGATAGCTGAATCATCCATAATGTCCTCTCTCCGATGTTTATCCTCTTTAGATAGAGATCTAAGATTGTGAACTGGTGACTTTTAAACTAATAACCATTTTTGTGAATACGAATGTTCAGACACATTTTATAAGCGGGCAATTATAGGTGAATCTTACTCACTTCCAGTTTTCATTAGTCCAATGTGAGTTATTTGTCAATAATAGCTTTTTCAAGTGATTCAGTATGGATAAGACATGTCAGAAATATTCTTATATCAGTAGATATGGAACAGAATTTTATTGATGAACAAGTTGTCAACCTTAAAATGTTAGAAACATCTCTAATGGAAAACTAAGTAGCAATTGCGAATTTATGTAACCTTTAAAAAAATGTATGAAGTAGATAAGTATCTTACATTGAATTTTTCAAAAATTGAGCTCAGTTTAGTCTAGGTATTTTGCCACTTGGGCTAGAGACAGGCAGATTTAAGGGTGAACACGTGGAAGAAAGATTATGTACACTATGTAACGATAAGAAATACGTTAAGATAAGAAATACGTTAATACTAAATATTGGCTTTTAGACTCTCTTGGTTTCGTAGTAATTTTAATTTGAAATATGTGGTCTAAAGTTTTTGTGCCACTTTTAATTACATTATAGACACCATCTTAATTGATTTATATACTTCTTAATTTATTACAATGCTACCAAATAAAATGTTTTTCTATCTTAAAGTACAGACATTAGGGTACTGATACTTATCAGGAGGATTAATGATAGTTGGCTTTTGAACTTTTTCGCCCAATTAAAAATATTCTTTATTTTTTTATTTAATGTTTGTCCGTTAAATCCACACAATCATTTTGTCTTGCATCAAAGTAAGAAAACTTTGAATATTTAAATGGAATGTTTAAACTTGCATTTCATTGTTCATGGGGTACTCGAAATTTAATTGCCTTTGCATTTCCTCATTGAAGCGTCTCTTCCCATCTTCTGTGAAGTTGTATTTCTGTTTTTCTCTCTTGTCTGCTCCTATTTTCCACCCTTACTTGTGTCTTGGTGGAATAGTTTGTGGTGAATGTGGTTCCTTTTCTCTAGCCGGTGAGTGCCAAGGCAGTGCAGCTCTCCATACATCGCCAAGAAACCAGGAACATGGTACACTATACCTTGATTACATAAACAAAACCATTAATGGAATGCAGATCAAATGATTAATAATCAACACACATGTGTACATTGTGATCTTGTACAAACAGTGCATATAATTGATTATGGATGACCACTGGAGTAGATAAACAGTTCAAAAGATATTAAATTGATGGGGATTACAGTGTCAATAATATGTTCACAAGCTTGGATGAATATTGATTTTGGATCACTTAGGTAATATAGTATCCTCCTTGGGTATTTCTGCACAAGTGAGTGAATAATACCAGATATTTAAAAAATTAATTGCGTACAGTGGATATATGGAGTCACATCATCATAATAGGTAACATCTCTAAAATCACTTCCCCATTACTTAGTCATTGTTTTGAAAGTGACTGGATTAATATAGCTTGCATCAGCTGTCTTAGACTTCAAAGCGGTAGCCAACACATTATAATCCTGGAATGAAGTACACAGTCAATATACTGTATACAATTGTATTCCTCTCTTGTCTTGAGGTCAACTGGGAAAATTGTATAACAAGAATATACATAGTTTGTGCATACTAAAATGATAATGTTCATGCATATAATTTGAAAGCTAAAGCTTCACACTGCATTCATATAATTAAAGTTCTTACTTGTAAAATTTGTGATGTTTTCCTTTGTGCTAAAGCACCATAAACAGATGTAGTTGGAGGAGGGGGATTGATACCTACAAATAGTGTAAATATTCATAATTTGATTTAAGCAGTGTATTTGTATTTTTATTATGAAAATAAACTGTAAACATAATATATCAATATATTGTTAGTTAATACATATAAACACTTTCAGTATTAAATTGCATGTAAATTATATATAATAATTAAAACCTTGATACTTTTAGGCAAGGTGGTAGAAATATATCTTATAAACTTCGGAACACTTTAATCTTTTATTTTCCCTTTTTGTTTAAGCTGGAGTTTTTAAAAAAATTACCCATTATAATTGTCGCTGCCTTCCAGTCACAGACTACCTTCCAGTCACAGACTACCTTCCAGGAAATCTGAATTTACCTGCCTTCAAGTTGGAGCCCATTTTCTTGGAGGTCTCTCATCTCCTGAAAGGCAACATTCCCACAGGCCTCTTGTTCAGTAAAGTCTTCCTTCCCTGTAGGGGCAAAATCAGGTTGTATTGTTAATTCATGCCAAAGGAAAAGTATATAATATAAAGGTTGCAAATCATTGTGAAAATGCTTAAATTGTGAGAAATGTAAAATTTACTAGATAGCAGTAGTGGGCTACATATGAGGCTTAATCTCCCTTCTTGCCTAGGGAAGGTTTGAAGAGCTTAAGAATTGTAAATGATCACCTTACAAATGGATCTGCTCCATCTGACAAAAATTAGTTTATATTATCAAAGCTAAAATGATATTCTTGCTTGATGTGTCAGTTAGTGTCAGTGTGGGATTGGACTCAAAGGATATTCTAACACTGTACGGATATTTATATTGTGCTGTTCTGACAGAACGACAAGTTGCCCAAAGATGTTTCTCTCCGCCTTTACTTGGATTAACTTGTTATTTGTCTTCTTCAGTGTAGTTTTCTTTGATGTAGACTGAAAGTTTTTCAATATATTTCGCTTTATTGGGATTGTGAAAGGAACAGTTTTATCAATTAGCCTATCCTTTATGAAGTTATTGCGAGCCTTCCTTCCTGTGGCATCTGCAAACTGTATGTCAGTGGCAATCCCTTGTGGCTTTCCACTGGATAGACAGTATAACTCCCAATTATTCCCAACCTCAAATGGGTTCATGAAGCTTTCAATTGCTATAATTGTGGCTAGAACATCAGTTTCAGTTTTATGTAGAGTTGCTTTGCTAAGATCACTGTGTTCTGTATTATCTTCATTCTGGACTCCAGCCATTGTCCTTGTCATGTCAACAAATGCTGCACGCTCATGATGAGTAACACACCACCTATAGTAGGCCACACACCACCTATATTTTGGCCTGTCTAATTCCTTACCCCGGGGCTTAATGAATATGTCACTTTCCCTACCCTTGAAGCAATAAATCTGGTCAAATAGTTTGATGGGTACAAATCTGGAACAAATTCACAATCTGGTCAAATAGTTTGATGGGTACAAATCTGGAACAAATTCACATCGTAGTAATTTTCAAAAGGTCTCTTGTAATTTATGCAATGACGTATTCTAAGGTAATGGCTTTTTACTTTAATAAGTTACCTCCCTCCGTTTTATTCATCTATATCAAATAAAATTAAATTAGAATTTGTTCAAATTTTCAAAAATTTATTTTAAATTAAATAAATCATCTATATTAATTGATTAAATTATGACAAGTCAGTCCCGATCCCGGGATACAATACAAGTGAATAGACATCCATCCACTGATGACATCTATAAAACACCAAATACATTACATTCTCTCTCCCTAGCTAAGTATTACTAGGTAACCACATTTGACTCCATACTAGAAACAATATAAATGGGACTCAACCTTAAGTTGGCATGTAATACTCAAAAGTTCACTTTTACACATGGTTGTACAATAATAAATCATATATGTGACCTTAACAATTTGTGAATCCACTACTAAGTTGCTCCAAGATAGCTATTCAAAACATCAATACCTAGAATGTATAATTAACATTCTGTTATAAGTCTCTTAGGTGAATATCTGGTTCTAGTAGACCTAACGTTTACATTAGCACTTTTATTTTTAACAGGCGTTTTACTTTTTACTGGACTCTGTCCTATATTAGAACTTACAGATTCGTCCAGATCAACACTGGGTAAAACATTATCTCTATAACACATTTGATCAGATGTGTTACAGGTACCAGAATTTACATCATTCACTTCAGACCTTTTTACATTTTTGAATCTAGTGCAGAAGGCATAGCAGATGGAATGCCTATAAATTATCTTGGACTCAAAATACCTTCAGAACTACCCTGAGCAGTACTTGCTTCCCTAGTAACCTCGTGATGAGTTGTTGCGACCCACCTATGGTAGTGTGATTTTGGATCGCACAGATAGTATAAAATTGAGATTGATGTAGTTTTAATATGAAGTTCTTAGCAAAGCTGAAGTGGGAGGGGTGAAACTACATATGAACGAATTTTATTTATTCAATTGATACTCATTATAGGTCTTCCATATAATTACAAACAGGGGCATTTGTGTTCTTGGCCTGGATATGTTATGTAAGCAAAACACTTTGAACAACAGTTGGGGTCATTTATCCATTGATTCATGCAAGAGATACAGGCGTGAATTTCTGATTCTGGATAGTAAACAATGTCATTCACTTTCAAAAACTGTTCACAGGGAATGCAGATGTAATGCTTACAGGTTAAAAGCATAAGACAAGGGGAAATGCTATGACATCGAAAGCAAAATGTTGATTGTGAAAATGTCATGCCAAATTGATGAAGGGAATTCAAACAATACAGTATTTTGAGATGATCAAATAAAACCTTGAGTAATAAGTAAGGGTAAAGTTAATGTCAATGTGAAATTGTAATGTAAAACTCTGGATTATTTAATTATCTGCATAATATTGCATAATCTATCTGGGGAATAATAGGGATGACATTCTTGAACTTGATTCAA